GTGAAGAAAATGTTCAGCTCTTTGAAAATTGCGCGCTGATCTGTGAACTGTGTGAAGTTTTTTGCGAAATTGTCGACTTTAAATTTGCCTCTGTATAATATGTAAAAATGTGTAAATTTTTCTAACAAAACATTGAAAGATGCTTAAATTTATTACATCACCAACTATGCCTCCAGAAAGGCTCCTTATATAGGTTCATTGCGTAAATAAGTCGCTCCATGAGCCCGGAGACATAGTTTCATCGTTTCCTAATTAAGAGCTAAGCAGAGAGGGGAAGAAAGAGTCTGACCAGTCATTCGTATTAGCGATTGAAGGACTTGGATCAGCAATGGAAGATTTATTTAAAAATTTAAAAGCCGCCTGTAACGGAGGGTTGGGTCGTTTAGTCGTCTTGCAAATACTTATAGATCCGAGTAAAGCTCAGTGCTTCGGGCCTTTTATTTAAGAAAAACGTTCCCTACGGCTTATCTAAACAATGAGAAGCAGCTAATTAATTTGCTTCTCGAAAGAAAAGAGGAATAAGGCGAAAAAGAGAAACCTTACTCGACTTACCACAAGAATTTTAAATTTGTTTTAACGTTGACGAATAGAATGTTATATATAAGTTGTATTCGCTAAGAGACGCTAGTAATAATCAGTTAAAATAGCAAAGTTACAAATTTATTCACCCTAATACTAGCCAATTTTGCAACCGAAAAAATCCCTATAACACGCTGTGGATGTACAGTGAAAAGATTCTTAAATTGATTACGAACTAACTACACCCACATGTGACTTATTGCATTCTTGACGCCTATTTTTGAGTATTATGGGTAGAAAGAGTGACCGAACTTTCCTTGGTGCGAATAAAAGTTGATATTATCACGAAAATCTTATACTTCACAAATAATGAGAACATCATAAAAACACGCAAAGATTTTCCATTCTTACTCTTAACGATAAAAATGCATTAGGCAGCTGGCCCTTAATAAATATCCCTAGTAACAAACATAAAAGGAAATCCAACTGCTAAGAAGATTAACAAATCTATTAGAACGAAAGTGTGGTATTCGTTAGTACCTTAAACGGTTTCCCAATAAAGGATTTGTCCAAGTCGATTTAATTGAATCGTGATATTCGGAAAGATAATTTGAAACAAAAAATTGTGTTAACGGCAAACTGAAAAATAAATTATTGTTGAGAATACCGACAAGTTCTCCACGAGCAGCGGCTAGGAGTTAAAGTTTTTGTCGCATCAAACGATAGCAAGAGCTTTCGCTCGTCCGTCAAGGGATTCGCTCGCCAGTGAACGCCATTGATTCTACTTCTCCATCCAAGTTAGCGATAGACATTGTGGATTTGCGAGAATCGTTTCTCTGGCGACTTTACGTTCTACCTCACTGAAAAGTTGAATGGAACTACTCGGCATTTCGGCGCAGACAAAGTCGTTGCGCTGTGTACGTCCAAAGTGTTTCAGAAAGTATGGCGTGACAACTTATCCCACCTATTTTTGATTAAAAGTAAAGTATGGTTCAAATGTGTGGACGAGTGTTTCTAGATCTTGTATGAAGACCCTCGACTTGTCTATCAATCTGTCGAAAAATTCAAATGCTAAATGGCGACGCAAATGTGTCCAACACGCTGAATATTCTTGAACATTGGCGTAGGATGGGCTCTGATGTGCTTGCGTACGTTAGATACCTTAGGGTTAAGTGTTATGTAGTGACACCACTCAAATTTAAAGGTTCGTTTGAGTCTTTATTAATTTAAAGTCTTTATTAATGTTTATACTTATATTCTGACCTAACTGAGGTGTGGTCAGTATCTTATATAGTGAATAACTTAATGCTAACTTAAGCAATTAATATAACTAAAGTAGGTTATCGCTAGAATGGTAACGTAAGCATATAATATTATGAAAATGGGTTATTAATAGAATTACAGCTTAAGCAAATAATATCCTAATCCAAATTCATAATCCTAATTAAAGGAATATTGCTGACAGCACGTAAATGGAATATAATGAAAAATATAATTTTTAACGTACGCAGGCTTTTCATAAAGGACCCATTTATTTTGAGCCGGCATAAGAGTAGAAGCAGTCAATTGAAAGACAGGAGTGGATTGACAATGGGCTTGTCCTTTACTCGCGACAACCAAAAATACGCATAAAGCTTATCAATTTCGTTCGTCTATCCTACTTTGCATAGGAACGTTTATTAATTTTTTCTTCCGACCAATTGAGTAAACAAATTTGGAGGCTAAAAAGTTAGTGTTTCATCAACAATCCATTCAATTAACGTTACGCTGTATTGATCGACAGTTATTAGTAGCGATCCCGGCAGCTTCTATACCCAAAAATAGTTCGGGCCAGTATGATTTCATCCCTGCTTATACGGTGGTACCTTTTGGTAGGAGTAAAACTTATGGTATTTTCGTCTTTGCAGTGTTAAATAAGCTTAATAATTTCGTACATTATTAAAATGAAAAAGTGGTTCCAGGCGAACTCAAAATGATTCTTGAAGTTTGTTAACTTAGAACGTGAAACGACTGGGTTAGGCACCTTCACGAATTTTAATAATCTTGTATGTTCCAGTGCCTTTGACATTAATAACACGTCTGCTTATTTATTCTTTTAACTAAACGTACGTACGGTTTATGCTAACATATGTGCCTAGTAGCCATTTTGTCTTGACCAAACTATTGCCATGCAATAATATGCAAATTCGATGCAAAGCAGAATAGCTTAGCTGAGATAAATGATCAATAAAGTATTGTATATATAAAAGATCAATACAATCCTGACATCTTGTCAGTTACTCTCTTGAAATCGCATTGATCATCCGTATCGTGATGTTCACAATTACGTTTCAGTTACAAGTGTTAGAACGATACATTGGAATAAATTAAAGTTATTTTTGATGAAACATTTGAATTGATAAACACTAGTATCCCTGCAATTTTAAATTTCTCTTCATGAGCACGGTGCCAAGAACTATGTTGAATATTAGAAAGAGATCAATAACTTGGAAGCCCTTATCAAATTACTTAAACGGATTTTAGTGAATATATATTGATCGTTACAGATGTCTATTTTCCCACCCTCTCTTAATATGGTGTTAAAAAAGGTAGGTGTACTATTAAAGCACACTGAAAGTAATTTGCAATATTTATAGTTCGTTCTTTGAGTGTAAATAAACTGATATCGTTTGCAGAGACCAGAGATTTCTAAGGGTTTTGATAGGGTTAATCGTAAATTACTTTTACATAGAGTATATTATATTAGTTGGCTTTCGCGGTGTATGCCATACCTGACTGGCCGTACACAACGTGCGTTGATTAAATCTTGTTACATCACGGCTTATAGAAGTCATATTCCGCAGGGGAGCCATTTGGGTCCTCTACTTTTTAAATTATTCATCAATGACTTACTATTTATTAATATTTACAATTTTTAAAAGTGCTAATGTTTGCATATGGTGTGAAGTTATTTTGTTCTTTTAATACCTTGAAGGATGACATGTGTCTGCGTTCGGGTCTGTTCGAATTATATGTCTGATGTAAGAAACTAGAAAAAAGGCAAGCAATTAACGGTTAGTAGCAGGGTTTAGATTGATATTGACTATTATATTGATACCCATAACTTGAACTGTGCTTCGAGTCTTTTGTACTTGGAAGTTATATTCAGTCGTGAATAGATCTGTAATATGCAGGTTTAAGCCTGAGTCAACAAAGGGAACGCTTTGCTTGAAGCTGCAGAGTTCCGTTGTCGTGTGGAGCCAAAACTACAGAAATTACATTCATCAAAGCGTGGCTTGAAACGCCAACCGGCAGTACCCTTGCTAAGCTACCAGAGTCGTCTTAGAAATTGAAATAATACCAGCGAACTGTTATTCACCGTTTTTAATGAAAGGGATAAACATTCATTTTCCGGTAACATTAACCCGTAGTTATTGCCTTATAAAGCCGCCACAAACTCGTACCAATTGTGAGGATAACTACTCACTTTACCACGTGTAGCATTTAATGATTATAAAAAACTTTACTACGAAGCCATTGTTATTTCTAAAAGACGATTTATTTTTCTTGTTGTTTGTTCTTATATGGATTTCTAATTAGGATATTCGTTTATTAGTAGATTCTGAATATTTTTTTTATATTTAAGTTAATGGTTTTCGCGCATAGTTAATACTTACAAGTGGTTGTAACATAATACTGTAATGTAATCAATTTACTTGGATTGAAAGAATTATAGCAATAACGATAATATATTACATAATTGCAATAATTTCTACTATGAACGAGTACTATGAGTTTAACTGGTTAGAGATCGCAATCATGCCAGTAAGCTAATCAAGAAATTGTTTGTATAACGCTTTTATTCAATTTTGTTTTCTCAGATTTGTTTCAGTTTTTTAAATTTTATAAGTTCATTTTTATACTGAGACTCGAATTTCCTTGATATTCATTTATAAGCAAAGACTACTTGCAGCAAGTTTCAACGTTTTCGTAAAACTTGTGGCGGTTGAGAATTTCAGTAACGCACGCTCAGGTAGACACAAATAGAGGGTGGACAGACATCTCCGGCAGTTTTACGTGACTACTTGCCAAAACAGCTTTACTTTTCAGTGGCCGTAATTTGATAAGCGATAACGGGGTCCTTCGAGCCTCTACGCGATTAAGCGCCCTTCTACTTCTGACGATGCAAAAAGAGGAAAATGGATCCAAGTCGCTTTGCTTATAATTGTGGTCAGCGTCGTCACCTATTTAGGATCTCTTTATTTAATGCACTCACGACTTCGAGGTCAACCAAGAGGCTCTCTTGATAGTTTGGCGAGTCATACGTATTTAAAGAACTCCTTCGCAGAAAGAAAATGAAGAAGAACATTTGAAAATGGAAGGCCAGTTTTATGATCCTTAAATTGCGGATTAATGATAAATGTTAATAAAAAAAGTGTTGCAACACAAATATATGTTATATAAAAGTGATTTTTTTTTGTAATAC